TTAGAAAACATTATATTGAGTTTATATAATAAAAAATATTTAGTTTATATAAAATATAATAAATATTTAGGTAATTTAAATAATAGTTTATTTAGTTTATAGAAAAAATAGTATATTTAATTTATATCTAATTTAAATATTTAGTATATTTAGTAAATATTTAATTTAAATAAAACATAATATATTTAATTTATATAAAAAACAGTTTATTTAGATTATAAATAGTATACTTAGTTATTTTAAAAAAAATTATATATTTAGTTTATATTAAAAAAAGTATATTTAGTTTATATAAAATATAATAAATATTTAGTTAATCTAAATAACAGTATATTTAGTTTATAGAAAAAATAATATATTTAATTTATATCTAATTTAAATATTTAGTATATTTAGTAAATATTTAGTTTAAATAAAACATAATATATTTGATTTATATTTAAAAAAACAGTATATTTAGTTTATAAATAATTTACTTAATTATTTTGGAAAATAATATATATTTAGTTTATATAAAAAAGGTATATTTAGTTTATATAAAATATACCAAATATATAGTTAATCTATATAATATACCAAATATACCAAGTATATTTAGTTTATAGAAAAAACAGTATATTTAGTTTATATGTAATTTAAATATTTAGTATATTTAGTAAATATTTAATTTAAATAAAATATAATATATTTAATTTATATAAGAAAATGGTATATTTAATTTATAAATAGTATATTTAGTTATTTTCAAAAATAGTATATTTAGTTTATATGAAAAAAGTATATTTAGTTTATATAAAAAAAGTATATTTAGTTTAAATAAAACATAATATATTTAATTTATATAAAAAAATAGTATACTTACTTATTTAGTATACTGTATTATTAATAAAAATTGTGCATGATTATAGTTATTTAGTATTCTTATTTAGTTTAAAGTATATCTGTTTCTTAATGAGCTCCATAAAGAGACTCATCTCAAGAAAAATAGGGAGTTTGTTGATGAGCGCTCAAGAAAAATTCAAGTAAGTTTTCCTTAAACTTAGTCATTTTATTTATTTCTTTTGTGTCTAGCATAATTTAAATTGCAATAACACCTACTCTTTTTAATAGGAGGAGTATGAAAAACATCTTGCCCTAAGATTATCACAGCATCCTGAATATACACCACCACCGTCGGGATTTTCCACTGATCCTAGTCTGAGTTTCAGACTTGGTATGATGTATCTCGTGAGAAGAGAAAAAATAGGAGAGTGTATGGTGTTGGAGCTCTCGCCAAATAATTCGACGGTGTGATAGGAGTTTCAGAATGCAAATTGCTGATGGTGAAGGATCATCAACTCAACCTTCACTTACCCCGGACATGATGGAAACTGTGAGATCATTAGCGCACTTTGAGGTTGCCCGTGAAGTGGAAGCGAGAAGTACTAAAATAGAAGAATTGAAGAAGAGACAAAGAGAAATGGAGGAAGAAATAAGAAGAAAAACTATAGAATATGAGGAATCTATGCGTATTTTTCAACAGTTTATGCAACAATTTAGAGGGCATGATAATCAAGGGCAAAATGACAATGAAGACAGTAACACCCGGAAAAAAATTAATCTTTATCAATAACACTTTTTATTTATAATTATAAACATTATTCTTGTAATATCTTAATTTTAATTCAGTATTTTATTAATATAATATTAATTATAAATTATATTATTTATTATATTTAAAAATATATTATTAATATTATTAATATTAAAATTTTATTTTATTAAATTATAATTATGAAATTCATTGATTATAAATATAATAATAATAAGAAAATTAAATATTTACGTTTATAATTTAAAAAATAAATTTTGGTTTTTAGCTTGGGGTAAACCCCCTAGCTAATGTCACATGTATTATGTACACTTCCTGCACTCTTCCTGCACACTCTCAGACATGATGGAAACTGTGAGATTATTAGCGCACTCTGAGGCTGCCCGTGAAGTGGAAGCGAGAAATGCTGAAATAGAAGAATTGAAGAGGAGATGAAGAGAAATGGAGGAAGAAATGAGAAGAAAAACTAGAGAATATGAGGAATCTATGCGTATTTTTCAACAGTTTATGCAATAATTTGGAGGGCGTGATAATCAAGGGCAAAATGACAATGAAGACAGTAACACCGATGAAGAAAATTAATCTTTATTAATAACACTTTTTATTTATAATTATAAACAATGTTCTTGTAATATTTTAATTTTAATTTTAATTCAGTATTTTATTAATATAATATTAATTATAAATTATATTATTTATTATATTTAAAAATATATTACTAATATTATTAATATTGAATTTTTTATTTTATTAAATTATAATTATGAAATTCATTGATTATAAATATAATAATAATAAGAAAATTAAATATTTACGTTTATAATTTAAAAAATAAATTTTGGTTTTTAGCTTGTGGTAAATTCCCTAGCTAATGTCGCTTGTACTATACACACTTCCTGCACGCTTCCTGCACACTCTCTGCGTTTATTGAGCACCTGCGCCAAAAGTGGCATGGTATTTAGCTAGGGGTAAAGCCCCTAGCCAATGGACAATCAAATTTTGCCTTTAGCGAGAGGTTTAACCCCAAGCTAATTGGCTAGGTGCTTAGCCCCTCACCCCTTGTCTGCGACCAATGATTTAGTTAAGGGACATAACCCCTTGCAAATGTTGATTTTATGAAGTGTTTTTTGATTTAGTGAGGAGTTAACCCCCCTAACTAAAGGGCTTTTTTCTTGTAGTGATAGTTTTACCTAGAATATTAAAACTTAAGAGTGTGTTTGGATAAGGTAATTAGGAATTTTTAAAGAATTCAAAATTCTAAGCAATTCAAATGATTTAATTAAAATTTATTCAATTTTAAATTTTTTTTGTTTGGATAGAGTATTAAAATAATTCCTTTTAGGGTCATTTTAAAATAAAAAAATTTGGGCCAAATTTAAAATACGAAAAATAGAAAACAATTTGCAATTTTTGAAAATTTCAAGACTAGTTTGTTAATTTTGAAAATTATTTAGGGACTTATTTGCAATTTTTAGGATAAATTTGTAATTTTTATAAAATATAAGGACCATTTTGCAAATTTTAAAAAATTATTAATAAACAATTTAATATTCAAATTATAGAGCAATCTCAAATTCTTTACTTTTTGGTGTCATTTGAAATTCCTTAAATTTGACTTGAATAAAATACTTTATAAATTTATATCATTTTAACAATTCTCCATATATTTTATCCAAACAATAGATTTTGATCAAATCATTTTAAATTCCTTCAAAAAATTACTTTTCCCCATTAAAATACTTCATACAAACACACTTTAAATATATACATTTTATGCATTACGGGAAGGATATTGTGTCACTGCTGGATGGTCTATTTGCCAATGTCTTACTTGTATGGCAAAAGGTTTGTTGGTCCAATCACACCAACAATATTATCTTTGAGAAAAGAGCTTTTTACCGTTCCATACCATGATATAGACTGGAATCAGGCTCGCAATTTATGTGCAAAGGTTAGTGAAACTGCTTAACTAGGTCATATGAAAACCTTAAATATATATAGTTTCACCTGGATTTTATAATTTATGAGGGCCAACTAGAATAGGCTGAACCTGAATGTTATTGCTATTACCACATTCTCATACATTACTTTGTTTTGCTACTGCACAACCATCTCATTACTAAGATTTCTATTTTATTGCAATGGTTGTCATATCCTTGGTACAAAAGTTGCTCCCTCAGTAACCATCCATCACTCTAAACAATTATATTCAGTGTCACAGGAATTCTGGATCCTGTTAAAGAATCATTCTCCGGTTAAGGAAACTGTAAATCTGATTAAGTCTCCCAGGGGATCAATGAGTCCAAAGACATGTCACAATTTCCCAGTTGACAATGGGGTGGTTGAGCCATCGATTGAGTGGCTTTATAAAAATGTGTGTGATATGCATAGTTTTGATCAGTCTCCCTCGAAGCAGAGTTTTGGATCTGATAGGGATGAGTCTAGGATTGATTAGGAACTGCATCATTTGGTTGGAGGACGGATGAGGGATTTGGAGATAATGAAAGAGGAGGTGGAGGTGGAAAGAACACATGGAGAGAGTTCTAGTTGTGAAACATCTTCTGGGATTGATAGTTTATCCAATGATAAGAAGTTGGATAAGGTGTCTGAGATTCAAACTAGGAGCAAAAGTCTGGTTTCCTCAGAAAAATTTGTTAAAGTATTGAGTTCATTGTCGGGTCCTGATACTTCACCAAAATCTAAACCCAAAGGAAAAAAATCCTTCTACAAAATATCCTATGGAGAGGAAGAATGATAAGCCTTTGAAGAAACAAACTAGGGGAGTTAATGGCGTGAAGAGTTCGAAGAGTTCTCCTTTGAGAAAGTTAGTGCTACAGAGTCGTGTTGAGAATTCGGCTGAATCAGAATTAGATAGACCAAGGCAGGCACCACCGATATTACTAAAGCAAGCATGGGATTTTATTTCATCAGGAGATAATCCACATAAAGCTCTTGAACTACCTCTTCAAGCAATGAAGATTTTTGAGAAGTTTGGTAATGGGAAATCGAATTTGAAAATGGTCGTATGTTTACATGTTACAGGAGCAATTTATTGCAGCTTGGGTCAGCATAGTGAGGCAATTCTGATTCTTAAGCGATCAATTGAAATTCCTTATAGTGGGGAAAGTCAACAGCATGCTCTTGCTAAATTTTTTGGTCACGTGCAACTGGGAGACACATATGCTATGTTGGGCCAGCTTGAGAATTCAATTAAGTGCTACACTGTTGGATTTGAAGTCCAAGGGAGATTTTGGGAGAGACGAATTCGACAGTTGATGAAACTTGGCTCATGACATTCATAGAGCAAATAGTTCAGCACCATCTATTGAAGAAGCAACTCATGGGTGTTATATGTGAAATGAAAGGAATCATAAAGCAACTCTTGAACACCTTGTTTTAGCCATGATCCATGGTTTCAATGGTGGCCACCAGCCAGGATAATGTATTGGATTCAGGTGACCTTGTCAGGGAGCAGGATGAGCATAAGGAGAAGTGTGAGACTCTTGAGCGGGAGAATTCCACTACTGAGAAGGAATTGGTTGAGCTATGCATAAAGGCCAAGCTTGTTGATTCTCTTCAAGAGAAGGTGGATCGATATGGCTCTCTGCCTACTTTGGCGGCTCATGTAGAAAAGTTGAAGGTTTCTCTTATCGAGGGAGATGATCGTTGGAAAAAGGCCTCTGAAGCTACCGTAAACGGGTGCCTGAGTTTGAAGTAGATCGGGAAGCTCTTCAGTAGAAGAAGGATGAACGGGCCAAATTTTTAAAATTCCTTGAGGAAAACGTGGTTGCTTCATGGTAGAAATCTCAAGAGACCCTTCAGTGACCTATGAAGTCCATATACCAGGGCCGAGATCAGACACTGTTGCATGCGCGAGGATTCTATCTTGGAATTTTCTTCATTGCTGACCAACTAGATCCTTTCCAAGTTGTTCCTAGAGATAATGTCAGGGGTGATCCTAGTGTGTCAGATTCGGCAAGAGATGTTTGAAGATCTTTTTGTCCCTTTTATTTTTTTTTTTATTTCGTTCCTAAAAGATTTTGTCGAGGCTTCATTTCTTGGCTTGTAAACAATATTTATTTATATTATTACCTTTTGCATGCTTGTGTTTTTGGTTTTGTATTGTACTTATGTTAAACATAATTTTCAGCTGTATGATAGCCAAAGAGCGTCAGAGTTCGATTTTGGCCCCTGTAGTATATGAAATTTGTTTGCTACAAAGAGCAATAAAAATTATTTTATTAAAGTGAAAACAAACTTAAGTCCCTAGCGAAGCCATGTTTGAATGTTTCATTCACGAGCATGTTGTGTTAATATGTACGCATTTTGTTAATAAGACGTCGGTCCAGCTTGAGGCGTCCATTTGTCTGATTTGCGATTGTGAGGCATGAGATCAGCCAAATGTAGCCATGCTTTAAACCTACGTTTACAATTAAAGGGGGCATGAAACCAGCTAGATGCAGTCATGCTTTGAACTACGCAGGTGTCATAGAGGATCATTTCCCGATCAAGGGTAGAGGATCCCTGTCCCTACCACCGAGGTAAATCTTGGTGCGAGATGGACGTCTTCAATCTCCACTACTCACGTCTCTTAGATTGGCTAGATCCGAAGGAGTGCGCCAACTACATAAAAATGTGTGTAGTTCTTTGATAAAGAGTATTTAAATATTGTATTTGGATGTGCAAAGCGTCGCTGCTAGCACTCCTAGAGGAATTGGTTATCGTAGTTGAATGTGCAAAGCGTCTCCGACAGATCCCCTTAAGTCTATAGGTGCGCTAGGTGCTATGGGGAATTGATTGATGTAGTCGGATACAAAGTGTCTTCGACAACACTCCTGAAATCTTTAAGCATGCACGACACCGAGGGATATTGAATTGATTGATGTAGTCGAACGTGCAAAGCGTCTTTGAGAACACCCTGAAAACCTTTATCTCTGGCAGTTATATATTAATTCAAAAAATATTTTTATAAGTTCTAATTTATGTATTAATTGCTATTTTTTAATAAAATAATTATAAATATTTGTATATTAACTTAATAATAAAATCAGTATAATAAAATTATTTTATGTTAAAAATTCTATAAAAATAGCTTAATTAGTTATCATAATTCTTAAAATGCAATAAATATATATTAAAAATTAAATTTTGACATAAACTACATAATGATGATCATTAATTGCTTTTAATTTTCATAATAATTTAATTTTCTCACTTGAGTCATCTTTATATATATATATATATATATATATATATATATATATATATATATATATATATATATATATATATATATATATATATATATATATATATATTTACTCTAACAATAAGTCTAAAATATATAAGGAGTGATATATATATCAAATCTTATTCTTTAATATTAATTTAATCTAACAGTTATAAGTTATAATTAAATATATTTAAGAGGATCGATATTGTATTTGATTTTATTTTCGTGGAATTCACTTCCTTAAATAGATCATACGAATATTTTTCATTTTTTATTATTTTTATATAATTTTTTTTCTTAATTTATATTTCTAATGTCAACACAAAATTTAGATTAATTATATTATATTACATTGTGAATCACAATTATATTTCAAATAATGTTTTTTTTATTTAAAGAGTAAGACAAGGTTTCAATTTAAATTATATATTATATTTTTTTCTCAAAATTGTAATTTCATTTATTACACATTCTCTTGCATTCTCGAAATATTAATTTAAATTTATCAAAATTGTAGTTTTATTCAGTTGTAGATTAAAATTTAACTTCAATAACAATAATATTTCATTAAATAAGACAAATTTTTTTTTGACTTTTTGGTAACAATTCTCATTTTTTATTACGATTATTTTTCTTATTTTTAATTTTAATTTTTAATTTGTGTGCATTTTATTTTTTAATCATAATTTTTAAACTATTTTTATTAAAATTTAAGTTAAGATCATGAAAATATGATCTTAATTAAAAATGAAAATTGCTATAAAAAATTTGTAGAATTAAAATTTGTCTGATTTAATTAAATATTATTCTCACTAAAGGTAAATTCCAAGCTATTGATTGAATACAACTATAATTTTGATAAATTTAAATGAACTACGAGTCACATAACAAAATTCTTAAATTAATTTTTTTAAATAATTATTTACCATTTATAAATTAAATTATAGTAGTATTAAAATTAATTAAATAATTTAATATTTTTATTAATTGAAAATAATATTTAAAAAAATTATATATTGACTTTTAATAATAAAAATACAATAACATTTTATTCTAATATGTATATCTGTGTGATACAGGATAAAATATTTAAAAGAAATCATAAATAAAAATACAATACCAATTTTAAAAAAAATTAAAAGACAATTAAGAATATTGAAAATTTTCTAAATTAATCACCCTTGTAAATGAGAATGAAATTTGTTTAAATTTGTCTGATTTATGTAAAAAAAAAAAGTTATAATTTGATACAATTTAATATTTAATGTAATTATATAAGATAAATAATTTTTTATTATAATAATTTTTTATAATTAATAAATTTGTGTTATCCTTAACGAATTTGTATTTTCTCGTAAAAATTAACAAACTTTTTCTAGAATTACTTTTGATTTATTCTATTTAATGATAATAATTTGAATTTTAGAATGAAAAAAATAAATTATTAATAACACTTTTATTAAACAAAATATTTGTGCTTTCGGACTTGTAAGCAAGTAATGAAGCAGAGTAATTTCATATTTATTGCAAAGTGACAAATCACCGTCAAGAAAACCTCATCATAAATCACAAACATAACTTTAATAATAAAAAAAATGGAGAAAAAAATAAAAGAAAATACATAAAAGCTAAAACTATTCATTAAATTCTCTCTCATTCATTCACTCCCAAAAACAAAACAAAACAATCCTCCTCATATTCTAAAACACCACACACAGAACAATCCAATAAAAAATTCATCTCTGTCCATGTTTCTTTGACCCAAAAAACTTCACAAAAATCTCATTCGATTCTTTTTTCTTCAAATCCATGTAGATTGAGTTTCACAATTCCTTCCCATTTCTTATATGAAATCACTATTTTCATCATTTTCTATATCCGATCTATGATTATCTCATCCGAAACTTTTTTACCATATTTTTCTTTGTAAGCCAATCCGGCATATGCAAGTGTATCACGATTGAAACAGATGCGTCTGGATATTTGTTAAAATTAATGTGTTGTAACCACCACTATCTTTAGGAAGCATTATGAGAGAATTGTAACCATCACATTATAACGATTGTCTTTATTTAAATTTATGGTAGAGTTGTATCATTAAAATTGAGAGAACCAAAGAGTCCTCATCTTGATTTGCAACCTATTTGTATTCTCTATCAGTTTCATTCAAGCATATATAAAGGTTTTGTAATGCTAAGATTAAGAGCAAGAAGTGTTTGGTGAATTAAAAAAAAACAGAATTTTCAATGGTCATCCACCAGTAGAAGTATAGTACAAAAAGTGACAAAAAGTAGTTTTCTCTACAGAATCCTGCAACACTATAATTTTTCACATACCACCTCTAGAATACCGCCAACAGAGTGGTATCAGAGCTGCAGATCCTTGCAGCTGCAACAAAAATAACAACAGTTATGGCTTCCACAAACAACCCTTCCGTAACTTACAACAATGTCAAAGTTCCTCTATTTGAAGGAGAGAACTATGATTTTTGGACTGTTAAAATGGAGACTCTATTCACATCTTTGGATGTTCTAGAGTATGTCAAAAACGGCTATGAAGAACCGGCGGTGACAGAGGTTGAAAAATCAAAAGAAAAGGCTGAAGAATCAAGCCAACGACTTGAATAATTAAAGAAGAAGATCACAAATGTTGGATTTCTCGGGATGATTCAAAGAGGGGTCTCTCTATCCATCTTCCCAAGGATTATGAGAGCTAAAACATCGAAAGAAGCCTGGAGTATCCTACAACAAGAGTTCGAAGGGGACTCAAAGGTGCGAACTTCGAAGCTTCAATCTCTTAAGAGAGATTATGAAAATGAATGGATGAAGGAGAATGAGAGCCTGAACGAATACTTCAACAGACTCTCCGAGTTGGTGAATCAGATGAAGTCACATGGTGATACGATAGAAGAGCGCAGAATTGTTGACAAAATTCTGATCAGTTTGACAGCAAGATTTGACCCAATGGTGGGGGTAATAGAAGAAACCAAGGATCTATCAACATTGACTATTCAAGGGTTGATGGGGTCTTTGAGGTCCTACGATCAAAGGATGTTATGACATTCTGAAAAATCAATCGAGAGTTCCTTTCAATCTAAACTCAACATTCAGCCCAACAATGGTGAAAATAAGCCCCAAATACAAACTAGAGGTGAGTCTTCTAGAGGTGGCAGATTTGGAAGAGGCAGAGGCAGAGGTCGAAACTCACGTGGCAGATCTAGAAGAAGCGCAAATGGCGGAAGATGGAATGGAGCATAAAACAAATGGTGTAAAATTTGTAACAGCGGTACTCATGACGAGAAGGATTATTGGAACAAAGGTAAACCGCAATGCCACAATTGCAAGAGATTCGGCACCTTCAAAAGGATTGTCGTCTTGCAAATCAACAACATGTTTCGTACGCAGAAGGAGAATCTGATGAAGGAAATTTATTTTTTGTTTGTCAAAAAGCATTGCATGAAGAAGGTAAAAATGTATGGTATTTGGACAGCGGCTGTAGCAACCATATGACCGGACAGAAGGAAGCATTTATAAATATTGATTCTTCATTTGGCTCAAAATTTAAATTGGGCAATGGAGAACATGTCGTAGTGAAAGGGAAAGGAAGCATTTGAGTCACCACAAATCAAGTAATCAAAGTCATACATGACACGCTCTATGTACCGGAATTAGACGAAAATTTGCTTAGCATTGGACAACTTCTGGAGCACGGCTATTCTCTAAACTTTGAGAATAACGAGTGCATAATTTTTGACTCA